TAATTGATAAATATAGCAAACCAATAGAGACACAGTTCAAACAAAAAAAAATATAAAGTAAATTATATTCTTAAAATAAGTGATTTTATGAGAATGACAAAAAAACTCACATTGATATACCTAGCTAGATATATTTGATATTAGATATATCCTATGTATACCATTCATATGAGAGGTATCTCAGTAATATACCTAAAATGAAGTATATCATTGTTATACTTAATATATTGATAAAAAACCTTACAATATTAAAACCTTAAACCTAAATAATATTTATGAGGGATATGCCGATATTATATTAATATGAAGTATATCATTTATATAATTTGTGTGGCTACTGATATGGTATGCCAGTTAGTCATATGATGGGTCGGGAGATCCTATTTCATACATCGAGATTTTTWAAGRCAAGATGGARTTCCTCACAGCAAGYGACGCCATCAAATGYCGTACCTTCCAGATCACTCTAGAAGGCTCRAYTGGGCTCTGATAYAGGCAGCTGAAGCCTAAGTCAATTAGCAGCTACCATAAGAATGGTAAGACCAAAGTTGCARATAAACGAAAATGTTTCTACTGCAACGTGAACGATGGGCACTAGAAAAGAAATTGTCTGAAATACTCGGCCGAAAAGAAGAAAGCCAAAGAAAGTAAATATGATTTCCTTGTTCTTGAAACTTGCTTAGTGGAGAATGATAATTCTGTCTGGATACTGGATTCAGGGGCCACTAATCATGTTTGTTCTTCATTTCAAAAAATTAGTTCCTGCAGGCAGCTTGATGATGGGGAGATGACTCTCAAGGTCGGAACGGGAGATGTCGTCTCAACAGTCGCAGTAGGAGACCTAAAGTTGTTTTTAGACAAGAATATATATATATATTATTAGATAATGTGTATCTAGTTCCAAAAATAAAGAGGAACTTAATTTTAATTTCTTGTCTACTAGAACAATGTTATGCTATTTCTTTTTCATTAAATAAAGGTGTTCATTTCATGAAATTGTGTTAATATTTGTTCTGCAAAACTTGAAAACAGCTTATATGTGTTAAGATCAACCATAACTACAACAATTTTAAATACAAATTTGTTTAAAAATGTTAAAACTCAACATAAAAGGCAAAAAAATTCTGCTAAAGAAAATACCTATTTTTGACACCTAAGATTAGGTCACATAAATCTCAAGGATTGGGAGATTGGTTAAGAGTGAGTTTCTAAGCGAGTTAGAAGATGACTCCTTACCTCTATGTGAATCTTGTGTTGAAGGCAAGATGATCAAAATATCTTTTACTAGAAAATGTTACAGAGCCAAAGAACCCTTCGAGCTTGTACATTTAGACCTTTGTGGATCCGATGAATGTTAAAGCAAGAGGAGGTGATACGCGACAACCCAAGTGTATTGGACTACTCAAGCCACAAGCTACTTGAATCCAATTGTATAAGTGGTTCAACCCGAAAGATTAAGGGTTCGATGGATTACC